CGTACCCTCAAGTGAGTACTTCGTCCCCTTCAGACCAGGGACACGTGAACGGTCGTTCACTTAGAGTTTGTAAACTCTAGAGGAAATAAACTTCCTCTGCACAAGGTGCTGTGTGACCCCGTCACACCACCAGTACCCAGACACCGACAAACGGAAGGGTCCCCCGATGATCCGTGATCGGCTGAACTTGGTCACCTTGTGTACCCGTCGGTAGGGCAGGATCTTGCCCCACACTGAGCGTCGGATACAAAAACGCACCGTGTCTGGCAGTCTCCTGCATGTTTGATCTACCTCGTTGCGCGCCGTATTAGCTCCTGTTCCACGCTGCATGTTGTTTCGCTCTTCATGTGTTCCTTTCTGGTATAATTTCGGAAATTGACGAGTTTCATTTAGTAGTACAGTACTTCGTACTTAACAGAATTTCACTAAATGCGGACCTGCTGAAATTTTTGGATATATTGTACGGGCATAATTTTTGCAATCATTTAACGCAAACATATATCACTAAAGCGACCACTAATTTCCAACTATTTGTATGCAAAAAATATACACGGTTGCTCAACTATTTTTATATGTAAGGAACTGGCATGAAAGGTAAAGTTGAGGATGGGTTTGCTCACGAGAATCATTGTGAACTTCCTGGCCATATCACATCAAAAAAATCGAAATTAAGACAAAAAATTAAGTAAGCGCTAGTTGACTAGTGTTCAAAATCTTTTCTCTGTCTTTATATCGCAGGTATCCAGACACTGTCATATAAGCTGCTCAAAGATGAGAAACGACTGCATGAATTCACTCTTCTTCACTAGGTACGTATACATTCGTAATTCTAACACGATCCGATTTGAGCGTGAAAGTCCCTGCAAACTCCAGTTTTACTCGTTCGGGGTGCTTGATAAGATAGTTATGAACAGGAATCATCCCTCAAGCCTGTGCCCTTTCACGAGGCAGTCGTCTTCACAATCATAATATTTGGCATTTAACATGTCATCAATCATAATATTTGGCATTTCACATGTCAAGCCATAATATAATTGGGTGCCGTTATATGGCTGAGAATGCTAGCTTGAAGCGACGTGAGCTATTTGCAGCACAACTTGACATCGGAAGTCGGAGGTCACTCGACATTTCCAGCAGAAACCACCCGGAACGCCGTCGACGACAGACCAAAAGGCGGGCAATGTCGAGGAAGCACCACTATGTACCCAAAAAGGAGGCTTCCGACAGCTTCGAGGAGCTATCGGCCAAGCTCACAGCTGATCTACGCAACCATGTGCGCTTCATGGCTGACTACCCCGTGCTTTCGGACGACTGGATCCAAATGGCTGAACAGATTCATCGCATCGGTAACATCACTGAGATGGAGAGACAACTGCCAAAGAAGCACGATGCTACGCTTTGGGAGTGTGAGGAAATCGCCCTACGGTGGGTGACCAACTGTCAATTTTGTTGCTCTAAAAGTGTTGACCGAGAATATCAATTCTTGTGATTCAGTTACCTTCTCGAAGACGGCAAGCTGAATTTGTACGTGTTAGTGCAGTAATGGCTTAGAACAATAAGGGTGCTGACAAAGTCGAGTTTATGGGTATGTAGATGCCTGCGCAATCTCGTGGAGTACAATAACTACCTCAAACGGATGATCGAGCGCGGCCCTGTGAAGGTTGTTAGCTTCGCTAGTAATACTCCACGATAATTCGTATTTACTAAAGTTGGTGTTGACGAGCGCAGACTGAGACAATGGCAACACTGGAGAAATTCGAGCATGGCATGGGCTTGACATTGAAAAATGCGTGGCTTCATGCCGAGGCAGTGCAGGTGAGATTATAGCTCTTACTGCACAGATATCTATTGTTCTAAGCTAACGATGTTATTTTTCCAGACCACCGACCTTCCGCTTCTGATTGAATACATTCACGATATTTTAATCTATTGCCTCGAGCGCCCAGACGTACGGCTGCTTTATTTCGTCGAAATCTTTAATAGTGACATTAATTGTCTGTTGATGAGCAGTATCTGCCGAACAAGAAGATGGACAACTGCCAAGAAGTCACAGTCATTCACTTTCTGCTCGGATTATGCAGACAGCTAGACTCGATCGATGAATCACGGTGAGTGCGAGTGTGATTTTACGATATTACGGTTCGTTCTAATGTTTGCTGTTCATCAGAGTCATGCCGTTGCTGGCGGAGAAGCGTATTTTTGCGCTACTGGCAATGCATTTAAGCGCACACATCAACCTCTTGAACGTACGTGAGACCTACTACTGTAGTTATGGAGGCCAATTGCCAAGTTTACGTTTCTTCTTTGGTTCTCCAGGCGGCAGACGTCGGTGTTGGTGCCGAAGTGCTTGCACTAATCTGCAGTACAGAAGACTTTGACTCACACGATGACTATTACGTGGATTCGCCCGAAGCCGAGTCCGCACTCCTTTCCTTTTACGGTGGGTGACCCTTGCTGCTTTTTAATCATTGCTTGATCGACAATCTCAGTTTTTTTACAACGCAACAGACGACTACCTCGAGGAGGCAACAGAAGACCTCGACACGCGCAAACGATTGCGCCCACTGCTTGACGCGGTGCGGCAGCTCAACTGCAGCCGCAAGTAGTTCAGCTCACACCTCGTATGCTCTTGTCGTGTTGGGTAGTAGCTCGGGGACAAACAAACGATCTATAGGCGACCAAATTACAAAAAAATGAATTTAACAAATTGAAGTGGCTCGTCACTCGAGAATGGTACAATGTACCACTTATCCACCGTCCTCTAATCAGGTTAGATTTGCGATTCTGAATCGAAGCAGCCAAGAAGCGTCGCCGCCCGGACTTGCCGCCGTGCGCGGCGCCTGCACCGCCTCCCGCAGCCTCCGGACCCGTCTCACCCGCGTCAACTGCTAGGCCGCACCCGTTTGCAGCTACTGTCCGACTGCTATGATCTCTGCTGCCAATGAGAACAGCAGCAGCACATATGAGCCGACGGTGTACACGTTGCTGCTGACAGGCATGTGTCTGCTGCTAGCGCTCTTCCTGCTGACGCGGCTGCTGGTGGCGCTACGCAATAAGAACAAGCTGCTGGCCTGGTCTACGGGGTTTTACGTGTTGTGTCTGCTCTGGACGGGTGTGCGTGCCGCCTACTGGATCATCATGTCGGCGCAGTCTAGTATGCGCTACCTGACGCTCTACCTGCTCTACTGGTCACCCACGCCCATCCAGTTCGCCAACTTCTCGCTGCTCATCCTGTTCTACATGCAGGTGCTCACTGGTCAAGAGTGGCGCTCTAAGTGGCGCAATGTCTGTCTCCCACTCTATCTACTACTCACCATGACCATGGCCACGTTCACGGTAGTTTGGGCGTTCAATTCGTCCAATGACATATCCAAGGCAGCGCAGCAAGGAGATGAATACGACCAGGAATTCTCTAGAGTATCGGACGTCAGTGTACAGCTGAAGTACTCGGCGTTCTCCTTCTTCCTGCTGAGTGTGCTGTTCGGCTTCTTCGGCTGGAAAATGGCCAACGTAGGAGACGTATCAGTGAACAATTATAAGAAGCAGAGCCATTAAGTTGCTATATGATTGCTGTAATAGGTGGAAAGCTGGAAGCGAAGGCGACTGCTGATTTCAAGGCCACGAGTACGCGGTGAAGCGTTGAGAATGAAGTGATTTGGTGTCAGAATTCCAGTGGTGCTAATGGCTGTTCCCATGTATTTTACAGAGTCTGGCAGTGATCAATTCGCTGTTATGTTTCATCTTTTTTACAAGAGGAATTCGGGATCTGGCAACGTCTCAAAGCTGGTTCCTGAGCATTTGGAACAACCTAGACATGAACGGCCGCGTGACCACAGTCGCCTACTTTGTGTTCTTCTGTTTCTGGGAGTTCCTACCTACAATACTATTGCTCTGCTTGATTTCATCGAAAGCTGGTGGGGTTGGAGGTAAGCAGTAGCATTTTCAGTCTTGGATATTTTGCGTGGTCACCAATCGAATTCGATGTATTTTTTCGTGGAAGTAGCACCAAAGCATGGGCCAGCGTCCCAAAAGTTACCTGATTACGGTATTTTCCACATCATTAACACTGGTGAGGGCAAGCTTCTGGCTGCAAGTCCGCTTGGAACAAGCGCCTATAGCTCCTATGGAACGCGAACCGAAGGCTCAGTTGGATTTGAGCAAGAACCCGAGCGTGAGCGCCCGCGATGGACACATGGGGGTGATCTCTTTCAAGATCCGTTGCGCTATGACTCGGACGATGGACCGATGCCGTCACCACGTCATTTATCGGATAGTTACAATAGCGACGCAAGTAACAGCAACTGCTACTACGATCGAGTACCAGGTCATTCAATGAGAACTTAATCAATTATCTTCACAATGTGTGTGCGGCTGTGTGGATGTGTTTAGCCTCCAGCACAGAAAACCACAATCTAATTACTTCGAAGTAATGTACTGTGATCTATCTACCTTTACTTATGCTTGTACGAGTTGGTACTCGCGGTACGAGAGGCATTCCACTCAGTGACATGCTCAATGACTCTTCGCCCATTGAGTTGCTATCTGCTGTAGCTCGTCCGCTATGTCCACTGTGCGGTTCCGTCGCGAAATAAACCGCAGTGGATCGTTGTTTTTCCCTTTGGTTTGGGCTGCGCGAGTGTTTGGGCGGTGGCTCTGTAGTCTCTTTGGGAAGTTCCCCCTGCATATCGATAAAGCTGTTGGAATGATTAATCTTGGCAAATACAAGACGAAGGACTCGTTCCCGGTCTTCCCAGCCGAGCTGGCGTAGATCTACTTTTTCAGTGAAGTGTTGCGGCGGTCCGGGTGGTACCGAGCTTTGGCGACTGGTTGGGGATGTTAACTTCGGGAATCTCAAGCTGGGTTTAATTCCATGTGCGCAATTCACCTCTCGATAGTAATTTTCAGTCTCCCGTTCGTGTTTCTCTTTGCGTTCCTTTTCAATCTCGCGTTTGACGTGCTCGAGGGAGTCCAAAATAAATTGTTCAACATCCGTTCGCTGGGTTAAAATGGTTTGCGCTAGTCGTCTCAAGTTCCGTAGCTCGCGATTTTTGAGGCGCAACAATTTCCGCAATCCTTCCACATCCAGCGTCAACTCCTCGCGCTCCCGTTCGTGACGAGCAGCATGGGCATGAGCATCCCACGACGCTGCAGCCAAACCTACACCAAGTTTCTGTTCAGCTTCTCGCAGACTAGAACGTAACTGGGTGAGCTCTCTTGCCTGTCTTTGAGCTTGTTTGGCAAACTCCGCCTCCTTTTGGACTTGGAGTTGCAGCTCCACATTCAACGTCTTTGCTCGAGTTTCGAACTGCTGCTTCTCACGCTGCAACTCTTCGGTCATTTGCAACTGGAAGCGCAGTTCCTCGCCCATACGCTTGTTATCCGTCACGATTTTCCGCGTGTCAGCGTCCAGCCCATTGCGTGCGTCCTCCTTGGCCTGCTGCTTGACGATCTCAATCTTTTTCTCATGTTCTTTCTGTAGTCGAGCCTTCTCCTCTAGAAACTTCCGTTCAAGCGCGCTGGTTGTATCGCGTGCTTGTTCTCTCTCCAATGTCAACTGCGTTTCAAGATCCTTCATCTTTGCGGCGATACTATCTTTCATTTCTCGGAAGAGCTCTAGCTGGTGTAGCTCTTCACGCAGATAGAAAATCTGCTCCGATGCAGCCTCTTCCTTTGCTGTAGCCTGCTGGATGAGATGCTGACGTTCAGTATCGCGAGCTTGTTGCATCTGTTCCAGTGCGAGTGCGTGACTCAAACGCGCTGCTGCGAGTTCTTCGCTCAATTTCGTGAGTTGCTTGTCTCGCGTCTGGATCTCCTTCTGGAAGTAGGCCACGAACTCGTGTGTCTCCTGTTCGCGTTTATCATGCCTTGCACGTAGCTCGGCATCTTCATCTTGTAATTGGGCTACTCGAGCTGCCATCGCCGCTAATTTTTGCTGATCTACTTGCCGGTTGAACAACTCGGCCGCTTCATTGTCATCGCCTGCTGTAGCAGCAGCGTCGGCCTCCATGGCTAACTATCAATGCAACTCGTTCACTGCTATGCCTCACCAGTTACCTCAGGTGCTGTAATATGGCCTAATGAGGGAGAGCTATCTTTGGCTCGCAACACGATGGACTTATTATTAGCTAGACCACTAAGAATCAAGATGAGGCTAAAAGCGTGTGGGGTCTATTATATCGCGTCTTCTTGATGTTGACACTTCTCCTCGCTGAACGCGAGACTCTCAGATGCCCTTATTGTACGTGACCACGCGTACAGGTTGACCGTCTTGCTTGCGCATTGCGTGCTGCAGTTCTGGTTCCAAGTACTTACAGTCGAGTTGCGCTGTCTGACGGAAGAGTCCGAAAGTTAGCGGCACCGAAAACTGGATAGCACAACCTACGAGTCCCAACAGTGTAGGCACACGCAGCCATCGCGTCTTTGGTCGCGTGAAGAGCGTGCTGTGCTTTTCGATTCGCGAGATGATGAGCGGTGGGAGCAGCAAGATCGGAGCTGCAGCAAAGATTCTGCCAGCAGCGCACGAGGCAACCGCCAGTGCGCCACATCTCCTTGACTTGCCGACGTAGTCTCCGTTCTCGTCGTATACGTGGACGCCCTTGAGATACTCGCTCTGCCTCATTACCGCCATGTTAAGCAGATCAGCTGCAGCAACAGCAGCGAATGGACCCATGCGAGCAACAGCAGGGGCCCATTTGACGTCCGTCATTCGACTAGCTAAACGTCGGATGCCGAGTGACGCCCCCACAGAGCTTGCAGTAGCGCCTACGTACGCCACGAGACGCTGTTCCGCCGTGTCTTCGTTGGAGGCGTTGCGGTTGGCATAGTAGTGCAGAGCGTTGTAAGTCTGGTTAAGCCACTGCGCGAAGATGGTGGTTTTTGTGCTGTTAGCCAGCAGCATGGCACCGTCCATGATCATGTTCATGGGAACGATCATCGAGGCACGAAGCGGTGTGAAGACCGGCGCTCCAGTGTCCGGGTGGAGGATGGCATGTGTCACATACTGCGCGTGCTGGAGCTTGTCCGGGTCCACAGTCTCACCGCGACGGTGTGCCTCCACCAACTGCCACGCATCCTGCAGTGCGTGATCCGTCGTGAAGGCGGTGCGGAAGTCCAGCATGTAGAAGGTCTTACGGACCCGTCCAAAATACGTGTCCTCGTTCGGATCTGCTAGCTTGATGTGCGTCTCCGGCGCGCTCATGGCTGCTGGCAGCATATCCTTCTCCCCCTCCATGGCAGTTGGTCACTATAACAACTGGAGCGTGCGTGGTCAATAGAGATGAGTGCCCTTCGTCAAGGGAGGGAGGGAGAGGTGATGGGCCTCGCCTCGACGACGTCAACGTCATTTGTGTATTTGATTAAGTACGAAGCACAACTTCAACAACCGACTTGTGTAAAAGTGGTGTGCCTGCGACGTGAGGGTGACGTTGCAGGGCAAAGATCTTCTGGCAAAATGCGTGACACGATGGGTGCATTTTGAGCCTTGCAAAGGCAATCAAAAGCTTATCATGGTTAAGCCTACTCGCTGTCCTTGGTGGCAGCTCACTACTACTTCAAGTACAATCCTAGCCTTGCTTTCGCATATCATTTTTTTGTGTTGTCCAAGTGCCTCACTGAGTCTTCTTCGCTGCTCCTGCGGCGGATTTTTTGGCGCTACGCAGCAGGTAGCGCTCGATGAAGAACTTGAGGAAGAGCGCGAAGTAGCTCGAGTACATAATGATGCCCCACTTGAGATTGTCGGGGTCCACACTGCACTCGTCGCCCTGCTTCATGTAGTACACGTTGAGGCCACACACAGCGACGCCCACGCCCATCTGGCTCAGCTGGAAGATCGTCACGAGACGTGCCCAACGCGGTCGGTAGCCACACGCCGTAAGGAAGTAGTAGAAGTACATGACAGCGTGCACCGAGTAGTTCATCGCCACAAAGTAGAGGCCGCTGCATACAAGAGACGACAAAACGACGCAAAGCCCAGAAGGTCAGCACAATATGCTCAAGAGGATAGAGAGCACATAGGCCAGCAGGTTGCAGTCCCCTGCACCACCAGAATGGCTTCATAAACATGACTTACCTAGCCGAGAGGGTAGCGAAGGCGTGCCAGCAGAAGAGCAGCACGGTGATGTGGTGGTACCAGTGCAGGAAGATGAGCGGCTTCTTACGCAGCACGATGAAGGCCGTGTCCACGAGCTCAGGCACCTTGGAGAAGATGAAGAGCATGATCCAGAGCGCCACGGGACCGTGGCCGTAGTGAGGCGTCGGCGGGGCGCATACCGAGTGGTACACACCGCGGCGGTAGATGGTGTGGATGAGGAAAGGCACCGTTCGGGAGGCACCGATGGCGCTGAAGACGGCCAATCCCAAGTTCCAGAGCGCTAGCGGGCTGTAGTGCAGCAGCGATAACAAGCGTATCTATCGTCAGTTTCGTCTCGCATACAAACTCCAAGAGAACGAGAGTCAGCAGGACAGCAAACGTACACTTTGAGGTTGAAGGGCTTGAGGTCGCGCATGATGCGGCGGCCGGCGAAGCACATGACGCAGTAAGCGGCGCACAGCGCGACGGCCATGCCCATCGACTCCTTGCAGAAGCCTGGCTCCCACGAGATCACCTGGACAGATCGAGATGTCACGAATCGTTAGCGAAAGGCAAGAGCAGACATACTTGCATCGTGCGGCTACGAACGCACCCAATCGCGCTCGTACTGGGACGGGTACATCCAGCGCAGAGCTGGCACCTCGTCGTGCAGCTTGGGCACGCGTGCAAAGGTCGTCTCCATCGTGAGTTAGTTGGATTCTTTCTGTTCTTTTCGATGCCTGCTACTGCCGCGGTCCGAGGTCTTTTGTGTTGTGTGACGCTCTTGGCCGGGCGGTATGCTTTGCGCGATGCGCCCGTTGCTGCAACCGCCTGTGAGATTTCCGAAATCAGCGACAAATTTCTGAAAAAACAAGCACAGGCGGATCGCTCATTCTGGGACGCATTTGTAACGCAGCCAACTTAAATGGGAATGGAAAAAATCTTTCGAGAGATTTGATTGGCTGGGATAGCTTTCAGACGAAAAAAACCCATTAACTTTTTAATGGGTTTTTTCTTCAAGAAATTGTCTGGATGCCTGAAGTATCCATTGGGTACTAAGACGGCCGACTGTCCTCATTTGTCCTCATATTACGGCACCTCTGTCCTCAAATAAGTTTGTCCCAATTCGGTACGTAATCAATCTGTTCATGTACTACGCTTGTCAGCGGTTCTGCGAAAAGCCGCCGATATTTCCGATATTTCCGAAAATAACCAAATCCACTTTAAGATGGCTCGAAGGCAGACTCCGGCCGCACCTCTTGCTGTGCTGCTTGCAACGCTGCTCCTCACACTGCAGGCCCCGCAAGCTCCGCTCGCTCAGGCAAGTGAAGTCCTGCATATCGCCGCGTGATGATGGAGAGACGGAGGGCAAGGCTGGCGCAACCGCGTAATCACTCCCTCCCGTTTCGTCGCATCGGAAAGTGGGTTTCGCACCCACCGCGCGGTGGTCTCTGCTATGCACTCGCGACTGACGTGGCTTTTGCTTTTGAAGGTGGCGCTGCCCAAGGTGCATCAGGTCTCGGCAGGTAAGTGCGCCTCGACGCCGCAACTTCGCGCGACACTCCATTGCCGAAAAGGAGGGCAAAGTGTCGTCCGACGTCGGCTGCAGCGAATGACCTCCAAGTGCACGATGACAAGCTGATAGTCTAATGTTGTGTGGAGGAAGGATGTTTGCCTGATCAAGTGAAGGCTTGTCGGATGGACTGCCCCGTGCAGTACCAAGACCCGCGGCGTTACCTCTGTCCTTGCTACAGGTGGCGTGCTGATGGTGGCGATGGTTTTTGGCTGTCGGAACTCCTGATGTGTTTGCTGTTGCTGTTGGTGTTGTGTCGTGTTTGACAGTAAATTGGGCCAGTGTCTGGTGCGTATCGGCTGCAGTATGAAGCAGCGAGTGGACGTTGCCGCATTCTGCTCGCGGCGCGGGTACTGCAAGGACGGCTACTGCAACTTCCGCGCTGGAGACCTCACGCCGAGAGGTGATACCCGCCCAGAGGTGTTCGAGCTTACGTCAGTGAAGACACCTGGCACGCCCTGCATCGACAACTGCTGCCCCACTTGGACTAACTGCTCGCAGGACTCCACAATGCTGGCCTTGCGGAGCCCCGGTCGAGTTTATCGACAAGAGGAGCTACTGCTACCACCACGAGAGTATGTTGGCACCTTGAGAATAGCGCGCAATTCAAGATATGCGCTTAGACCTGCTGAATTTTGTGCGTTGCTGTCTTTGTTCATAGGGGCGACCCCAGACTGGGTGTGAACCAAAACTACGACCGCATGCCGTACAGTATCCCGCTTGCGAATCTGCCGTAGCCTGAAAGCGGACGACATGCACAACAAGCAAGCATTAGCTTACTTAGACATAATGGCCGCACCCGTTTATCGTTGTGCACACTAAAGCACGCGGCAATGTGTTCTACTCGGAACCAACTGAAACGCTGGGCTGACGAAGCATTTGCAGTTGCATCTAACGTGCACACACGTCCACAAGACGTTAGGTCTAATTGAACAGATCAAGAGGGTGGCAGCTTTGCAAAACGTACTTGACTCCGATCCAGTTCCACGAGCCTAGCTTGGCCTTGCATGACGGGCAGAGCAATTTGCCGTCGTTATTCGTCATGAAGGTAGGGTTCATTGTCATCCACTGCATCGGTTCAATAAAAATGCCGGCACATATTCCTCCTGTGGCTGGTGTGTGTGTCAACTGCAAGCA